TTATCTGATTATGCCCAACCGCTTTTATAATTTACATCAAGAGTCATAGATTGCTACTCTTCTTATGCATCTTGGTACTGTCTATTTGAGTAACATCACGTCATTTCATTTAGAGAAATAGTTCAGGTTTTGAAAACTGTCTACTACTTCGATGACTATCTTTAGTTTGGGTCCATGCTGATATTTTCCCAGAGACTGAATAAATCAAAATATTTCAGATGAAATCTTTCCAATCACACTTCTATACAAATAAATACCATGTGCCTGCAAACACACATGCATACACACATTATATAACAATAACAATAATAAGTTGGAAGGGACGTTGGAGGTCATCTAGGCCAAACCCCTGCTCAGGCAGGAAACCCAATACTATTTCAGACAAATGGCTCTCCAGTCTCTTTTTAAAAACTTCCAATGTTGGAGCATTCACCACTTCTGGAGGCAGGTTGTTCCACTGGTTAATTTTTCTAACTGTTAGGAAGTTTCTCCTTAGTTCTAGGTTGCTTCTCTCCTTGATTAGTTTCCATCCGTTGCTTCTTGTCCTGCCTTCAGGTGCTTTGGAGAATAGCTTGACTCCCTCTTCTTTGTGGCAGACCCTGAGATTTTGGAACACTGCTATCATGTCCCCCCTGTCCTTCTCTTCATTAAACTAGACATACCCAATTCCAGCAATCGTTCCTTATAGGTTTTAGCCTCCAGTCCTCTAATCATCTTTGTTGCTCTTCTCTGTACTCTTTCTAGAGTCTCAACATTTTTTTATATCATGGTGACCAAAACTGGATGCAGTATTTCAAGTGTGGCCTTACCAAGGCATTGTAAAGTGGTATTAATACTTCACGTGATCTTGATTCTATCCCTCTGTTAATGCAGCCTAATACTTTGTTGGCTTTTTTGACAGCTGCGCACATTGCTGGCTCATATCTAAGTGATTGTTCACTAGGACTCTGAGATCCCTCTCACAGTTGCTACTATTGAGCAAGGTACCCCCTATACTATACCTGTACATTTGGTTTTTCTTGCCTAAATGTAGAACCTTACTTTTTTCACCATTGAATTTCATTTTGTTAGATAGTGCCCAGTGTTCAAGTCTGTCTAGATCCTCCTGTATCTTAAGCCTATCTTCTGGAGTGTTGCCTATTCCTGCCAGCTTGGTGTCGTCTACAAATTTGATGAGTTCCCCATCTATCCCCTCGTCCAAATCATTGATGAAGATGTTGAAGAGCACTGGGCCTAGAAAAAAGCCCTGGGGCATCCCACTACACACTTCCCTCCATGTAGATGCAGTTCCATTGAGGACTACACGCTGGGTATGGCCGGTCAGCCACCTACGAATCCATCTGGTGGTGATGCTGTCTAATCCACATTTTTCTATCTTATCAAGTAGTAGATTGTGATCTACTTTATCAAATTCTTACTGAAGTCCAAGTAAATTATATCCACAGCATTCCTCTGATCCACGAATTTTGTCACTTGGTCAAAGAATGCAATAAGGTTTGTTTGGCGTGATCTGTTTCTGATAAACCCATGTTGGCTTTTAGTAATGACTTTGTTTGCCTCTAGGTGTTCGCTGATTTGTTGTTTAATTATCTTTTCCATAATCTTCCCAGGTATTGAGGTCAGGCTGATGGGTCTATAATTTCCTGGATCCATTTTTTCCCCTTTTTTGAAGATGGGAACTACATCAGCTCTTTTCCAGTCCTCTGGTAGTTCCCCAGTGCTCCAGGATCTTTGAAAAATATAGTTCAATGGTTCTGAGATCACATCTTCCAGTTCCTTGAGAACCTTGGGGTGTAATCCATCTGGTCCTGGTGATTTGAACTCATCTAGCCTGGATAGGTGCTCACTTACCATTTTCTTGCCTATCTTAACTTGTGTTTCTAATCTGTTTTTGATAAGTTGTACTGTTTTTTCCCTTTCTGTAAAGACAGATGCAAAAAATGAGTTAAATAGTTCTGCTTTCTCCCTGTTGCTTGTCATCTTCTTGCCACTTTCCCCCACTAATGTACCAATCATGTCCTTCACTTTTTTCTTGTTTTTTACATGTTGAAAGAAGCTTTTTTTCATTATTTTTGACTTTGGTCACAAGCCTTAGTTCATTTTGAGCCTTAACTTTCCTCACTTCATCTTTGCAGGCTTGAACTATTTGCTGATATTCTGCTTTAGTTATGTGCCCCTTTTTCCACTTTTTATACTTGTCCTTTTTATCTTTCAATTTATCAGAGAGTTCTTTATGCAGTCATGCTGGTTTCTTTTGAGAGCTGTTATTTTTCTTCTTTGTTGGTATTTTGCTAGACTGGGCTTTTATTATCTCACTTTTCAAAATTTCCCAAGCTTCTTGAGTTGTTTTCCCCTTGAGGATTCTCGTCCATGCAATTCTTCCCAAGCTCTCTCTAAGTTTATTGAAATTAGCTCTCTTAAAATCCAAGACTCTAGTTTGACTGTGTTCTATTGCTTGTGCTTCCATAATGTTGAATTCCAATATTGCATGAACACTTCTCCCCAAGGTTCCTGTGGCTTCAATACCTTCCATCATTTCATCTGTTAGTGAGGATTAGATCCAATATGGCTAATCCCCTAGTTCCTTTCTCTACTTTTTGGGAGACAAAGTTGTGTGCAAGTTTTGTTGGGAATCTGTTTGATCTTCCACTTGGTGCAGAGTTTGCCTCCCGGTTGATGTCAGGGTAATTAAAATCCCCCATTACTATTGTGATGTGCTTCCTACATACCTTAGTTAGGTGACTAGCAAAAAGTTAATCTATTTCCTGTGTTTGGTTGGGTGGCCTATAATTTACACCTATGGCAATATCATCCCCCCCCTTTTTATATTGAATGCATTCAAGACACTTTTCATCATTGTTGTGCTCTATTTCTGTAGAGATGTAATTATTTCTTATATAGAGAGCAGCTCCACCTCCTCTTTTATTTTGCACAGCGTATTGAACAGGCCACATACACATTAAATGAGTCACATAGTCATTGCATAAACAAACTGTACCTGCATGTTAACAGTTCTTTAGTTACTACATCTACATCTAAGTACTATTTTTCAATATTTTTGTAACATTCATGACTCTCTTTTCATAATTTTTTTTGGGGACACTTAAGCTTATAGTATTTGTTTCACTTTTACTCTTCAATATATCACTATAATTTCCATAGCCATCTCTAAAATACTTCTTCTAGAATTCTTTCATTTGAGATTCATGCCAAATTATTTCATTCCTTTTATTTATTTTTTAATTCCATCCACTTTGTTAGAGGCTATTTATTAGCCCTCTTCACCCACATCTTTATATCCATTAAATCACTAAATTTTGGTGGTGCTCTGTAACATTATAATTATCTCTTTGTTCCAAGCAGCTTCCAGATCTTCTATTAGTAGATTCATTTGTCTTCTAATATGTTTTCATATAAACTTTTCTCTTTTGAAATCATTCTATTTTCACAGTTTTTTTTTTACTTCTTGTGTGTCAGTACACTGCAGGTTTGCCAATTTAGTAACAGTATGCTGGTTTGCAAAGAAGTATCTGGATTAAAAACCTTAGCTTGCACAGAGTGACATGAATAAATTTGGTGTGATGAAAAATGTGCCAAATGTGGTTACTATAGCCATTACAAATAGCAGAGAATACTGCATTTGGCATGAATATAATTAAGACTACTAACCTAACTTATACCTTTTCTTACCCACAAGCTTTATGTGAACAAGTCAATTGATTGCTCCTAATAATATAAAATTGTAAATAATATTAGAGCAAAACATTCTGGTCTTGTGCCATTTAGCTTCAGATCACAGCCATTTTTGGTGGCTGTTTGATTTAAAGAATGCTACTCCATTTTAAATCTTATTATATGCAAAGCAATAGTCCAAAGAAGAATGAATAATGATCATGTTTAAAAATTATTTTGTTACTATACTTCTACAGAAGAAATGCCATATTTTGTTAAGATTATTCAATTAAAATGTATAAAAATAGCATTAAAGCTAAGTTTTTTTAATTGAATGGTTTTTCATTATTCTATGCAATTTAACAAGACTTCTAATTCATACCTGAGAATAATTCCCAGATATTTTGATTGTTGTTAGTTTTGTTACCTATTTTATTATTTTTATTAAATTATTGTTTTAATTGAAACGGATTTGAAACCCCTTCTTTTTTTCTTTGTGCCAATTTGGTTTTGTTATGTCTGCCATTTGCTTTGTTGCTTTGCCATGTTGTTTTCTTGCTTTAAATTGCTTTTAATTTAAGAGTCCTTTTGATATGTGACAGGTGGCAATTAAATCTAATAAAAATAAAAAAATAAATAAATATTTTAATATTTTGTAAACCACCCAGAGTCAATGGAGTCAGGTAACATAATAATAACAAAATAATTAATTTGTTATGTTACTGTAATAAAGTACAGTCTTTGTATAACTATTCATCTGTTTGTTACTGTTTTGACTTTTAGGCAAATTAGCCATGATAGTGGTGATACCACTATCTATACCTAAGTACCATTTTGATGAATGCATGTTGTTTTATTTTCTGTCCAATGGTCTCTCTTTCACTGTACTTTTCTAGGAATCAATTTCTGCTTGGTATCAGAATTTATCTGATGATAAAAGCACTATAAACTTTACAGAGGAACATGCCTAACTTGTGAGGAGATGCTTTATATGCAATATAAATTTATTTTTTTCTAGAAATTTAACATTCTGTTGGTTTTAGATGTAACTGAGGCAGTACTAGATTTACATAACAGCACCTTGCCAGCCTTGGCTAATCTCAAAAAGATAATTGTCTGGATAAGGTTAATACTTGAATAAGGACCCATTGTTATCATATCATATGATAATTGCACTTACAAAAGTATTTTTCAAATTGAAATACAATTTGAATAATATAATACAATACAATACAATACAATACAATACAATACAATACAATATACACTTAAGCTTTAACATGTAAGATATAATCCATTAATTATAATATTTGTTTCTTTCCCAATAGGTTCACCAGCAAAATTGTAACTTTCAAAAATGAAATTTTGTATAGGAAGAAACAGATAAATTGGAATTAAAGGTGTGAATATTCACTTCCCTTTGGATGTATCTGTTTTTAAAGACGATATGTTGATTCAGAAGATCCAGAGAGAGAATTGTGAAATTTATTTCATCTATTCAATCCATGGAATTTTAAGTTACCTCTTCAAGGCAGCAAATTTTCACAAAGTTGTGTGATGGATATAGCAGTGTGTCTTTGTGCCTGGAAACCTCACATTGTGGATTAGTCTGCTATCAATTCCATTTTGGGGGAAGGATTGGATGTTATGGATTTATCTTCAGAAATGAGTAGGCATGGAAGAAATCCATTCAGTCACAAGCTGGAAGATCAGAAGAAGGTAAGACTATTTTTTGTTCTATTTCAGTATTATTTTACAACATTTATTATCATTTATAAAATATTCTGTAAGTATGCTATTACGTACTATATAATTTTTACTCCCTAATAGTTGTTATTTGTGGAACTAATTTTATTACTATCTGATCATTGATTTCCAAGGAATCTTGAAATTATTGAGCAAATACGATTGGCAAAACATTCACTCTTCTACCATTTCTGATTCTGTGCCAAGGGTTTCTGTAATAATGATTATTATTAACTTTCAGGCTTAGCTCGTTTCAATATTTGATAACTTTCTGGGAAAATAAATGTTTCTCCACAGGTTCTAATATTAATTTATGAAAAGAACATCACCAGGTATTAATTAGTGTTATGTATGGAATGAGCAAAATTGTTGAATATGAATGTTTTAGAAATTATAATTTATTTGGGAGGAATATTTAGAGCTATTTATTTTAAATAGATCATTTTAAATTTTTCCTATGGATGCGTAAGCTGAATAAGTATTTCTATTTCTTTTTAAGATTTCATTTGCAGATAAACAAGCTTGTCTATTCAAGGTTTAAAAGTTTAGATTGCTGAATAGATGGCTATTCCTCTGCACTGAGAAGTCTGATGTTAGGTTTTAATTGGAACTGATTGAAATGCATGTTGAACCATGTACATTAAATGAATTAATGAATAAATAAATTCTACAAATTTATCTTATTAAAGTTCCTAGTTGCAATTGTTAGAAGTAAGGTCTTCATCCTGGTTCATCCAAGCCGGGAATAAATAAGCAAACATGGTGACTGCTTTGGGAAGAAGGTTACAGTTTATTGCAGAAAGATGGTTCTTCAGGAAAGTGCAGAGGAGAGAGAAGGGCAGAGAGCACAGAGAGAGATTGAGCACATGGGCAGTAGGTTTTATACCCCCCCTAGCCTTTTGTTTGGAATAGTTTCCTGTTCCTGTGGCATGAACCTTGAGACTGTTTCTGAGTGTTTGTCTAGGCCTTAATATCTGTGGTTTAATTCTGTTATCATATCCTGCTTCCCAGGTGATGGGGCTGACTCCTAGAGTTTGGGTGGGGTATGCAGATCTTCTCTTTTGTCTTCTTGATTGCTCTGGCTTCAACTTTCTGATGGTTTTACATCTGCATTTGTACAGGGCTAAAGTCTTGCTTGGGGCAGAGAGATAGATTTGGGGCCAAGTTTGGTTTTAAAAAGTCCTTTTGAGGAAAAATATATTTTTCTGCCCTTTTTAATATTTCCTTCTGGGCTAACTTTCATCAATCCCCCGCTTTGTGCCTTAAGTGTGTATTTATGACACACTTATTGGCACAACATTAAAATTGATCTGGTCAGGGAGACTTGGTAGACAAGCTTTTGAACTGTTAAGCAAAAGAAAAAAGAAAAAAGAAAAATAAGACATTAATGGAGGCAGCAGAAAAAGATCCCTTTAGTGGCTCCCAAAAGGGGAGCTTGCACCCATATAGTTCTAAAAGTCAGGGCAAAATTTTGTTAGGTGGAAAATAAATTTATAGTGTCCAATATTCTGTGCCAATCATTTTCAAATGTTGGATATCACCTTTAGCTTCCAGTCAGGTTTGCATACCCCCAAAAATTCTTCACAGCCATGGTTTTCCTCAGTACAAGGCTGCCCGTTTTCAGGGGTTGTTTCCTGCCTTAGCTCTTAATCCAGGTTTGTAATGTCCAATATGCCAGGCTATTAAATTTTTCTTTAAATTGCACATACTGAGCTCTAGGAATCCCAATCTGAGCCCAACAGTGCAAGATATTCAGGGCTGAAATTTGGGATTTTTCCTGTTGCTTCCTTAGTCAGGGCATATGAATTGCAAATCACCTGAGTGGGCTTGGTTCCCTCCCCCTTGGAATCTGTTGGAAGTTGGTCCCACAAAGCTTTGGTGCAATAGAGCAAAAATCAGCCTGGGGGGAACTTTACTGAAGGTAGGTTGAGGGGATAGACTCTGAATGGTGTGAATGGTGTATGTGTGCATGTGCAGCTATTTCTACAAAACAGGCAATACAAACATTCTGGAAAAGTTTTCCCTCCCACCAGATAGAAGTCCAAGGTGTTCAGTACTTGTTCTACCACTTATTCCCAAGTGCCATCTCTCCACTAATACATTCAGCTTGCTTGTTACAATACAAATGGGGCAAGAAAGAAAAGTTTACAATGAGTTTCCACCCTCCCCCCACAGTCTTAATTTTCTCTTATGAGGCTTCACATGGCACCAGGAATCCTTCCTTCTGCAGCTCTCTCAGGCATCTGGGGAAATGGTAGGACTTGGGAAGATGTTCCACTCAGATTGCATGGTGGCTTTTTAGTGGATGGCTGGATTCAAAACTCAATTCCATGGCTCAAACGGATGGAGGCAGCATCTGGGTCTGTGTGTTCTGCTTCCAAAGGCTTGGGAGAGGGTTTCAGGGCTGAAAGATACAAGAACAAGGTCTCCCCCCGCTTTCTGGGTGGACTCTACCAGGAGAGGCAGACAAAAGGATGGAGAACAAAGGGCAGGAAAAAAAATTGGGAGGGGGGTAGCTTGCAGACAGTTTGAGAATGCTGAAAACTCCAAATAATTTTAAAAGCCTAATATTTTAAGATGTGCAACTTGCCAAGGGTAGGAGAACATTTATTCTAAAATAGACCACATCGTTTTAGAGATTGAGAAATGCTTATATATTTGGGATAAGAAAAGTTTCATAGTAGCATCACCAATAAGTGATAGGATACGAAAAGTAACTTAAGGAAATTATTTCCCCACACAAGCAGACTTGAGCTTCAAAAGGCTCTTGTAGATAGACACACATTTTTCAGGGAAAGGATAGATAAAACACATACAGTAAATGCAAGTGAAACTTTTCCAACAGATAAACTTAAAACAATCCCTCCTGGTAACTTAAGGCTGTTCTTGAGCTTACACAGAGAAAGAGGAAAACAAACAAACAAACAAACACAATTCTTTTTCTTCACTCTGTTTGTTGGCCAGACAAACAGAGTGAGGTATTTCCTTTTTGTGGCTTATTTTAAGCAGAATTTCTAGCAGAATTTAAAATTCTTTTTCCTTTGGATTTGAAACAGTTAACAGTCACATTTACCTCTCACACACAGACTTTGACAAACATATATACACAAATACAAGAGAACAGAAGTCTTAGTTTTACACATCCTAGTCATTCCCAGCATAAATTTCAGATAACTCAAGTTAGGGAAGGCACATATTTTAAACATACCACGTGTTTGCATAGAGAAGAGATAGAGAGAGAGAGAATCACTATTTCTTATTTTCCCTTTTAAGTACCTTTATTTAGCCAAATTAGTTTCCCAGCAAGGCCCTAAGCAAAGTCTATTTTTTTCTATACACTACACAGTCGAAGTCTCCTTGTGAGACTTCTTTCCTAACAGTCGAAGTCTCCCTGTGAGACTTCTTTCCTAACCTAAAGGGCACTACACAGTCGAAGTCTCCTTGCGAGACTTCTTTCCTAACTCTGCTTTGCTTACAGGGCCTTACCAGCTAGTTGCCCAAATCCAATTATTTCATTCACTCATTCCATTTCATTTTCACACATTCTCTCCGTTTTCCCTAACAAAAGGTTCTATGCTCTGGCCAACCCCCATGCTGTCCAGGTTCTGCCAATTAAACAGATCCTTTCTGCGGCTAGGAAAGACCAGAAGCAGCAAAATCCAACTGTGATTGGAAAAAGAAGTCTTCTCACTCACACAAACAGAAATACACACATTTTCTTTGTTCCCCTGGGCTTTAAACTTAAAATTTAGAGGTACTCACCTTCATCTTCTTTCCAAAGCAGCCCTTGAGCTCAAACTCTCAAAACTCCCTTTACTACCCTAGCTCCACATGGGCAAGGCCTGGGAAACCCATCCACAGACACAAGGGGGTCTGCTGCCGGCAAGATGGGGCTTACCAATCTCAGTCCATTGGAGAGGTTAGCTTGGAGTCCCATCTCGGGGTGCCAAATTATTAGAAGTAAGGTCTTCATCCTGGTTCATCCAAGCCGGGAATAAATAAGCAAACATGGTGACTGCTTTGGGAAGAAGGTTACAGTTTATTGCAGAAAGATGGTTCTTCAGGAAAGTGCAGAGAGAGAGAGAGAAGGGCAGAGAGCACAGAGAGAGATTGAGCACATGGGCAGTAGGTTTTATACCCCCCCTAGCCTTTTGTTTGGAATAGTTTCCTGTTCCTGTGGCATGAACCTTGAGACTGTTTCTGAGTGTTTGTCTAGGCCTTGATATCTGTGGTTTAATTCTGTTATCATATCCTGCTTCCCAGGTGATGGGGCTGATTCCTAGAATTTGGGTGGGGTATGCAGATCTTCTCTTTTGTCTTCTTGATTGCTCTGGCTTCAACTTTCTGATGGTTTTACATCTGCATTTGTACAGGGCTAAAGTCTTGCTTGGGGCAGAGAGATAGATTTGGGGCCAAGTTTGGTTTTAAAAAGTCCTTTTGAGGAAAAATATATTTTTCTGCCCTTTTTAATATTTCCTTCTGGGCTAACTTTCATCACAAGGAAAGTTTATAAATGCACTTTGATACATTCCAGTGGATGTACCATATTTCTATAAAACTTAACTTTCAATTAACATAAATCAAGAGATCTGTACATAACAAAATATGTTACATTTAGATTATCACATCTACTATACTGTACTTTTAATTGTTAAATGTTCAGAACTGAACATGTGCAGAAGGCTAGAATGTTTGTCCAGAAAGTGGATGCTTATTACTAATGATTGGGGTTAAGTTCTGCTATTTCTGTCACATGGGGATCAGTGCATACTTAATTAGCCTATATGTGAAATAGGCAGTTTGATTATGGTTCATTCTCAACTTCTGTCTATTAGCTTCTCACTTAATTGCAATGATAAACTGAATGGCCCAAACACAGATTTTTAGGATTACTTTATCAATTCAGTTTGGAACTCAATGTGATTGCTTTGAATGGAAACAGCTTTCAGAGATTTTTGTCAAAAATCTTGCCA